GAATAGTCCCTGCTCCAAGAGGACACTAGGTGGACGAGACACCTTTTGCATGGCTCTGAGTCCATCATTCTGTCTTTTTTAACTACAAATGAAGACATCAATTTCAATCATTATTGCACCTGAAAGTTAACCAAATTTGCCATGACCTTTTATTTACACTCTACAGTATGTATGAAAATAAGATAGGATAGTCTAATTTTTTCTTATGAAGAATGAGATTCAGAAATCATGAGTAAGATGTGGAACTAATATCATCACCACGTAGCATATGATCATGTAGGACTAAAAAGAATTGTTCTGAAAATGCCAGCAACTCTTCTACTGAAATTTTTAATTCAATTTAATATTGCAGATGCAGGGATTAGGAATATGACCCCATGAAAAAGGAAGAGAAGATATAGAAAGAAGTGTCAGGGATTTCAGATCAAATGCGATTTCAAAATACTTTGTCTTTTCTGTTAAAAAAATTAAAAATAGATACATCAGTAAATTTTTCTAATATGTTAGTACTTCTGTTTATGCAGTCAATTGTACAGATTTCATCATAAACAGTCACACAAATTGGACATGTTACCCCACACCAATCTTAGAAAAATACTCTCCCATATCACTGGTGTATGTCTATTGAGTGAATGGAGGTGAAATCCAATTTGAAGAGGTATTATATCTTTGAATAAATAGTAATACTACTAAATTAATTTATCATAAATATTTGGAGATTATTTTTGCAAGACTAGTATATTTTGACACATTTTATAATAATTTCTTAGAAGAAATAGCACAATATAAGGAAGTTATTTTAAGTTATGGCAAGAGAATTAATCAATGAATTAACCACTTAGGAGTGAAAGGATAACACGATTCATGACATACATGAGATTTCAGAAGTAAAAAATACAGATATAGGGAAACAACTTTTGATGATGTCTTAAAGCTCAGTTAAAGAGGGTAAATTTAATTGTAAACCAGTTTCAGCCTAATTTGTGATGACCAAATGGGGATCTCTCAGAGATCACAGTGCTTCCCTAAACATGCAGGAAATGTATACAAAACCACAGCATAGCAACTGTTGATATGAACTGATTTTTCAGTGCTAAGCAATGTAATGATTCATAAAGCATATTTTTCTTGCTACCAACATAATCTCTTACTACGCTTATGTGTGTTACCCACCTGAGTTTACCATACTATTTTATAATTACTTTAATTATGTGCCATTTATATCTGTTACATTTTTTTATTTTTTCTAGATCCTCATCCTGGAACTTTGATAATAACCATTAAAGACAATGATATCTCCTTACATTTTCACTGCATGTATTTCCATATATACAAGTATCTTGAAGACGTCTTCTTTTCCTTGTTAAATAATGCTAAGGTAAATTCTACAGACTTATATGCCAGTGAAATTGCCAGAGGTATAACTCACAACTGAAATGGAACAATTCTTTTCCTCAACAGTTCCAATTTCATTTTGTTATGTCACCTTTATTTAAATATTAATAACCAGTTGTACTCTTAAAATGTTCAGGACAACCAGCGTACTTTCTTGCTTCTGTTTGCTGCTCAGGGAAAAATCGTGCCTCTTATTTCTTTCTTAGTGTTGAAGTTACTTCCTCAAATCTAACTGTTCCAACAGAGGGTAGATTTCAATTAGATATTAGGAAGAAATTCCTTTTTGTCAGAGTGGTAAGACATAGGAACAGGTAGCCCAGAGAATTTGTGGATGCTCCATCCCTGGAAGTGTACAAGACTGGGCTGGATGGGGCTGCTTTGAGCAACCTGGACTAGTGGAAGTTGTCTCTGCCCATGGCAGGGGAATTGGAACTAGATGATCTTTAAGGTCCCTTCAACCCAAAGAATTCAATGATTCTGTGATTCCATGATTATTTTTCAGAAAACAATAATAGAAAATAATGGAATATGGAAACAAGCCCAGTAACTTCTTCCTTGCCAGAAATATTTGAAGCCATGTGGGATTATGGGATTTGTTCTCTTACTGAGAGACTGTGTTTCTCTGCATCCCAGGGTAAAACACTATAAAAGGTTAATTCACCAAGTAATATAGCTGTAAATAACTATTTTAACACACTCACAAAGCATTGTTCACTCTCTCATTGTTGCTAAGATAAGGAATATTCTTGCAAATCAGCCTCTTTGTATCTCTATTTGTGTGTCTCTAGGGTTAGCAATCACCCCAGGTTTTTCGTTTTGTTTTGGGGTTTTTTTGTTTGTTTTTTTTTTTTTAGGTAGAATCAATCTAAGTTTTAATGGTGAAATCATGTTTACTCAGAAGGGAAACAGCTGAAATAGCACTAAAACTGCCCATGTGAGAAAAGTGGTCCCTCAAGGAGAGGTCCATATTACTGACTCTCCAATGCTGAAGGATCTTCATTGTGTAGGCCTGTGTTGTGCCTGGCCAGTGGGATAAATGCAGACCTTAGATGGCACTTGATTTCTTCATTTCCACAAGCAAACTAGCTACATAGGCAGGTGCAAACTCATTAAAAGCAATTTGTATCAGGTGAAACTTCTTTGGGTTTTTTTGAGAAGTTAATTACCATTATTTACCATAAGGAGGAAAATTAAAAAAAAAAAAAGTGAAGTAATTTCACTCCAGGTTCCTGCTCAAAAGTCACTTAAAAGTCCCTTAAACTGTGTTTATCTCATAATATACAACAATTTGGAAAGACTAAGCCTAAGCAAAAATTCTTCCTGCTCACTTCTCGACATTTTGTCAGAAAGACCTGTAGAAAGAAGACTCCTCCTAGAGTGTAAATACCTGAGGGAAAGTCAGAGCATCCTCTGTTTACCTGTGCACCTGCAAAGGAAAACTAAAACGTCTGAAGCCCCACCTTTTAAGAACCTTGTGAAACAATCTGGGAACTGAGCCAAAACCTCCTCTCTCAGTATATAAGACTCAGGAACAGAGAGGTATTTCCTCAGAGGCAGGTTGTTCGGTAGCTTCTACCGGGCTTCCAGAAGATGGGCAGAGGTGGTGGGACTAGAATACCACTATGGATATCAATACTAGCACTTGCCTTCATACAGATCAAAGGTAGGAAGATTTACTTTCTTGGCATTTTTACTGTTTTAAAGAATTTATAGTTTGCTTTGGAGTTTGAAACATTTTTTCCTTGGCTTTGTGAGGTTAATGAACCTATTACATTCATGCAAGATTTTCTTTTCTGTTATGAATACTTTCCTTCGTAAGAAGAAGAAATTACCTCTTTTCAAACTGCTGTCCTGTTTTCTCCAGTTGAAATCTGGAACAGCTCCCCTGCATTCAGTGGAACTCACTCAGAACTTACATTTCTACAAAAATGCCTCAAGATTTGCATTTAGCTTCTGATGTCCAGTTCAAGACGGTACAGCATTTCTAAATGTACAAACCAAAAGGTGCAAAAGTACCTCTAGAAAGGAACAAGTCAGTGGATGAGATTGTCTGCATGTATTATTAAAGATTTTATTTATCAGCTGATGACACAGTTTTGAAAAAAGGGAGGGTTTTGCTTGAAAATCACTGGACAATAGGTTTTAACAATTCTTTTACTCTTGCCCATGAGGTTGCACAAAAGCTTAGCACACAGGGTTGGTTTGCAATGGGCTGAAAGCAAATTAAGTGACTTTAAGTATTCTAAGAGGGCATTAATAGTCAGAAATGGATTGAAATATCTTTTTACATTTTTTTAATTATTTTTTCATCAGATAATTTCCCTTAAAGTTTAAGGTAACAACAATATTAGTTTTCTATTTTGATCTCAGGTGCAGATCCTATCGGATGATTTTATATTTTTCCTACTCCTAGGCAATTCCATACTAACTTAGGTTAAAAAAGTGGTAGTGTCATGGAAAAGCCCATCAGAAGACTAACTGTAGCATTACCACACCATGCAATGGAAGCAGGGATCTGCAATGCATATGACATGAGACAGAGTGGAGCCATACAGCGCATGGAGAGAGAAGCAAAAAGCTCTCTGAGGCTGGGCAGAGGAGGAGCCCAGAGGCACTGAATGGTTCCTACCTTAAAAATAGGCACAGCATGTCCTTCCAACACCAGCTGCAGACCCCTGGGTAGTGCTAAAAGGGACTTGAAGAGCTCTCTACAGCTCTGGTTTCAGCCTAAGCCCCTCTAGTGGTGCTGCTCACAGACTTCCCTTGCAGGGTGCAGCAGGAGGTGAGCCTGCCTTTTTGGTTTTCTCTGGCCTGCATAATCTCCACTGCAACATGCCCTGTGATGAACTCTCACTAAGCGGTGTATTAAAAGCCCCTCTGATCCCTGCAGTTAATGTATTTATTCCTATTGTGATGCTGCAGTAGAATGGAATGAAAAATGGTTTCTTTGCTGGAAACAAAAGGTTTTGCTTTGGGGCAAAATCAACAAGCACAAATATATGTATTGGAAAGACCTATTTCTTTCTGTGTGGCTTTTGTGTTTATTTTTCTTCTGCTGCTTTTTACAAAGAGTGCCTGAAACTGTAAAATACAGAGTAACTGAGTAAGAGAGGGCAGAGATATGTCCTCTAATCCTAAAATGAATTCTTCCCGTACAAAAGGAAATTTTAAAGCACTCTGGCTAGAAAAAAGGTTTTACTGATGCTTAAAGCACAGAGTGACCATAAAACCTAAGAAAATTAAGTTCTTTATCTGGAGAGGTTATAAGGGAATGCAGGGGTACATTGTGACAATAACAGAATAAGGATCTGCTCAAATTACCACAGGCATGTTTTTGATGGCTTCCCTGCAGTAATTTATTAGCCAAAAAATAAAAACATACCAAAAAAAAGGGAAAAGCTGAAGGAGTGGTGTTTGGCTATCATGGTTGCACGCAGCCCAGATCCTGATTCAAATTTGACCTGTACATGAGCATATCTTTGCTGAATTTTTTTTTTGATATACTAACTGTTACATGTTTAAATAGATGTAATTGAGATATTGGGGGAGCTCAAGAAAATTAGACATTAACATTTCTACCATTCTTGATGCAGTTCAGGCCCAAGATGGTGAACAACAAACAAAGTATATTTCTCCATCTATCCTGCAGCGACAAAAACTTAAGTATTTTTATGCTGATCTATTGCTAAGATTTTGTTCTAAATCAAGTTGATAAATAATAAGATTACTAGAATGTTTTTAGTCCTAGCTAGAATATACCACACACATTAAAAGAGAAGTCCTCTGTACAATATACCTGATCTCTGACTGCTCTAAACTTGAGAACTTCCTATGAGATCTGGTCCAGTGGATCTGCTCTACTGATATGATAGAGTTATCTAATCTTTAACTTTAGGAAAGGTACATACCTTCTATCTAAAAGTGTATTTTCAGAAGAGGTGTGTGTTTACATACGTATCACCAGGGTACTTGATAGCAGGTAATAAAAGACACGTTTTTATTTTTTTTACACTGTGTCAAGATGACTGCATTACTCACGAGAGAATAAGGAAACTGTAACTACCTTAAATGTTAGCATAATTAAGCACTACAAGATCATGCATGACACATAACTGTACAGAGCAAAATAAGGGTGTAAGGATACAAAGCTGACTGGTATATTAGTGATGACAGGCTGAAACAACTGATCACTAAGTCTGTCCTGCAAGAAGTGTACCACAAATTATTTAACAATAGCAGAGGATCATATTGTTGCTTCTGAGTTCAGAACCTGGGCCAGGATCAGATGGGAGTCTTTAACAAATAATGAAAGAAAGTACTACAGCCAAAGGGCATAGTCTTTGGAATTTAGTTGTTAGTGAAATTTATAGAAAGGCAGATCACAAAGCATTGTGTAAAAACTACCAATAAAACCTTGTGGAAACTTCCTTATAGAGTGTAAATAGTAGTAGGAAATTTTCATCACTAAAAAGGCTACGTTATCTCCATCCATTTTGTAGCATTCTAAGATTAAACTTAGTCATTTTTTCTCCTTTTGCTTTTCTACCAGCTTTCAAATCCCAAGAAGTGACAATCATTCCGCCTTTTCAAAACACACTGAAAGTAAAGGGTAAGTTCACCAAATGTCATGGCACAGATATCTGTGTTCTTGTTGATCACACAGATAGAGCATGCAGTGACTGAAGAGATCAAGAGATTGTGTAAGATCCTTTAGCACAGTAAAAAAAAACTTTAAAGAAAACTCATCAGTTCCTCAGGTAACACAGATAATCTAACTGTGAATCCCGTGCTTCACCTACATTGTGTTTATATAATGCAGTTGTAAAGAAAAAAATTAAAAATATATTTATATATGAAATAATGGGAAAAATCATGCACAATATTTCCAGTAAAGAGAGAAAAATACTAATATGCTGAAAACACTGTGGAGACATCTTATCTAGGGTATAGGGTACAATTCAAGCAGGGTGAGTGTAAATGTGGAAGAAATGCAGGAAGGGACTCTGAAGATTATCAGAGAGATAGAAGAGCCTGCTTGTAAGGAAATGAAGACTGAAAAGAGATAGATTTCTATAATTGGTGGGGGGAGTAGTAGGCAGGTGAAACCCCTTCAAGGTGAAGTGTAATTTTGGCACAAGAACAACCAGGCATACATGAGACAGGAATATTGTTTGGAAGATGTCGACAAAAGTCTTCCAGCCATTCAAAGGTTGCAGGTATGAGTGGCCTTCCCTATCAGGAGTATCAAATAGTGTTAAACTAACTTTAAACTGGGTTTATGGTGAAACTTTAAAACTTCATATATTTACAAAAGGATTTATAGGATATGGGTGTTGACAGAACCAGAGCATTGGATCTAGTGACCCAGGAGGTCTCCTTCTCTATGCAAAACAGATTAAACACAAAAAGTGACTGAACTAAATAAAAAAATTATGATGAGCAAATAGCATGCCAAGAAGGAAAACAGAAGATGGGCTTTTGGGACAGAGGCTAGTGAAAGACCTAGGAGGGGAAGGGCATCTAAAAGGGAGGGTATTACAGCAAATTACAGGAAATTCATACTGCTTGTTTTGACTCCACAGCTGGCAACCCCTCTCACAATGGCCATGTGTGCAGCACATGGGGTAACTTCCACTTCAAAACCTTTGATGGGGACATCTTTTACTTCCCTGGAGCCTGCAATTACATCTTTGCATCCAACTGCAAGTCTTCCTATGAGGACTTCAACATCCAGATTAGGCGTACAATGGCGGAAAATGCTACCGTGATCACTCACGTCATCATGAAGCTGGAAGGAGCAGTGATTGAACTGACCCGTGGCTCTGTCCGGCTAGACAACAAATTGTATGTTCACAGCTTGCAGCTGTCATCACTGCTGTTGATCCCCATGAGCTCTTTGAGCAAGCATCCCTTTCCCTTGTCTGATCCGACATTGCTTCCAAGCAGCTGGAAGGCTCAGGTCTTTCCTGAAGTATTAACAAAAATGAGGGCTTGACAGTGAGCGAAGTGCCACTTCTGCACATTATCCCTGTGTTCATTTTATTCAGATGAACTATATTCCATATGATGGCCCACTTCTACAATTGTGCATGTATATATACAACCGAGTGTATAAGCTAGACTCAGTCAAAGTGTCAGAAACTTAAAGGGTGCAAAACCTACCCTCCATTAATGTTACTAGAACAGAATTCTTGAGAGGAGTTTTTGACAGCTTTTGTCTTTGCACCAAACAGTGCATAGTAAAGCAGTGGCTGCAGCTTATATCTGAGTTAATTTAAAATTATCTATTCTGGAAACTTGCAATCTATGTAGCAATTGTAGCACTGACTTCGGCATAGGGTGTGAAACCTGTAGAAAAGGACAGGTAAATATTTGGGCAGCTATCCCACTGTGAGTTGTCTCTTATAGCAGCTATATACAGTGAGCTAGTGTAAAGTTTATCTTGGGTACAGCTTTCTGAATGTCACCCATGTCACAGAAAGCCTGGAGTCCATCCCTTTATCATCAAATGCTTTAAGGCCTGAAGCATATTGCTTGCAAAACAGAGTCTCCCAGCACTTCTTTGAACCATACAACCAAAAACATATGCCAACATTTTACCCAGAAAAACACCCTTGAGAGAAAGCCAAAAGGAACAACAGGGCTGATCCATTTGCACAATGAGAAGCAACTGCATAGGAAACAGACAAGATGTTACATACCTGTGTTGTCTGTATTTAGCTACTGCTCTGATTTCCTCACTGATGTATGCTGAAAATTCTCAAAGAGAATAAGAAAGAATTGCAGTGTGGATATTCAATGAATATTCTGTCCCTACCCTGGCTGAGTTCTGATGATCTTTCCCCAGGGTTCAGATGCCCTACAGCCATATGGGAGTCTTGATAGAGAGAAGTAACAACTATCTGAAAGTTTCTGCCAAGTTAGGACTGACCTTCCTTTGGAATGAACAGGATGCCCTCCTGGTAAGAAAACATCCAGAACATGGCAGAAAGTCTGTATTTTGAAAATAGTTTGTTTTTGTCTTTGCAGTATTAACCAGTCATGTAGACATTAGTTGCTTTTGAATTTGTGTCCATTTTTAGCGTATTGTTGTGTTTTCCAGTCTTCTCCCAATTTCCCTTTTTTCCCCCACCAATCTCAGCTCAGAGTCAATAGACCCCTGATTATAATATTCTCACCTCACAGTGAAGTAATCTTTAGATTCCAGACCTGGCAATGTACTGATGTTCACAATCCAGGGCTAGAAGAAGAGCAAGTTTTTCTTGGTTGTCACTGACCTTTCCAATGATGCCTACCTTGTTATCACACAACACAGTCTGCACAGCAAACATATGTCAAATTTTGAGTACACAAGCAATACTGATGTAGGCTGTGCTCCTAACCATCCAGACTGACATTTCTATGAACCCCTTTCCTCATTTCTTTTAGGTGGAACTAGATAAGAAATATGCCAATCAGACTTGTGGACTTTGTGGGGACTTCAATGGAATTCCAGTTAACGATGAATTTATTTCAGGGAGTAAGTAATAAAAAGTATTGGTGCTTGTTTTTTTATTTTACAATATACTGTAACATAGATTGTGGGTCATATTAACTGCAAAACTAGTGATACTTTTTCACATATTTCTATGATATCAGTTATGTATACAGTCAGGGCTTTGAGATGTATTAGACTGCTTCCATCACTGTTATATGTTTTAAGACCTGCCACATAAAACTTGTTTGCAATACTTAGGGTCGAGTTCCTTGTTCGTCTTTTACCTTTCATACTATAGTGATATTATTCGGCAATCAATGTTCATGTGATAGCAGATAGTATCACAAAACAAAACATCTCCATGCAAAAAACCAGTAAACACTCTTCTAATATTTGAACTGTTTTTTACAGAGACAAAACTAACTCCCATACAGTTTGGTAATAGGCAGAAGATGGATGGACCCACAGAGCAGTGTGATGATCCTATTCCTTCTACTGTTCAGATGAACTGCTCAGCAGAATTTGTAAGAACCTCTCTCTCAAAATTTTTTTTCTCAGTGTGAAATATATTCTCTCTATCTTTGGAGATTCTATCTTTCCTTTGTTAGAAGGGAAAAAAATATGCCAAAGCGAATGCTAAAAAGTTCCCCATCTAAGAGAACACTGCATATTTTCCCAAAAGAGGAAATCATTGAGGATGTCTTAATATAAAGAAATTGTATAATGCTTAGGAAGTCACCTGAGGTGAAAGTAACTCAAGATATGGAAGATACTAGAATTAACTAAAGGAGTTCCTTTATGTTCTTGCCCTATTGATACACTTTTCCCTAAATATCTGCTTATGGCTACTGTTGTACAGGTTTTGTGGATCAGATGGATCTTTGATTTGTTCTGCCACATGCCTTAAATAATTAGTTTCATATTTTCTAAATGTTTTGTTTACCTTCTCTGTTTTCCTTCCCAGGCTTCTATCTGTGAGACAGTATTAACCAGTAAAGCATTTACAAGTTGCAACATGCTTGTCAATGTTCAGGACTACATCGAAACTTGCATACAAGACCTATGCCACTGTGATAGTTCTATGGCTGACTTCTGCATGTGTAATACTTTTGCTGAATACTCCCGGCAGTGTGCTCATGCAGGTGGACAGCCTCTGAACTGGAGAACCTCAGAACTGTGTCGTAAGTATCTCAGGAAGGGACTTCCACCTGTGCTTATTACCCACATCTATTAAATCCAAATATGTGAGGTTCTTTCCTTAAAAAGACAGTTGTTTAAACGTGCATACAATTATCATGAAATCAGTTTCAACCTAATCATATTCAAGACTTTGGGAATATGGAAGTTTAGGGGATTTTCCTTACAAACAGTTTTAATATATATCAGAAAAACTAAAATATTTTGGCCTCCACTTTGATCAAGATTCCCCATCATATCTTGACAGAAAACATCCTAAATTGCAAATACTGTTTTCTCAACCTTTCAAGGGAAAAGCCAGCTTTATAATACTCTTTCTACTTTTAGCCAAATCATGTCCGTTCAACATGCAATACCACGAGTGTGGCTCTCCCTGCTCTGACACATGCAGCAACCCGGAACGATCTGCACTTTGTGAAGACCACTGTACAGATGGCTGCGTCTGTCCTCCAGGCAAGCTTATTTCCTGCCCTGTTCTCACAGCCAAACCCACTAGAATACTTACCTGTACACATTTAACAAGTTTCACACTCTGTATCATTCTCATCATGACACCAGTGTTATTATCATCAAAAGAAAAGCTACATTTCTTCCTTCATATTCATGCTCTATTTCTATTCAGGTTATTAAATATGCCCTTTTAAATAACAAACATTGAGAAGACATGTATATAGTGACTGAGAATAAGATAATTTGTTCCTAACAACAAGAGCATTCAGATTCAGTTCCCAGAAAGTACGAAATCTTTAATCAGATTTTGCACACAACGATAGCTGCTGCTGTTAGCAAAGCTGCATCTGGTTTGCCAAATTACTAACTCCTTCTTGTCAAGTGCTGAGTGTCTAAACAAAAAGGAGCTCAGAGAGCACCAGGCAGCGTGTAAAATTTGGTGCCTCACAGAATTATTCATGAGACCTGAGCATCAGTACAAGACAAACAATGCAAGTGTGTCTTCTTTGTCCACACTTCTGCGGCTGAAAATTTTTATTGCTGTTGTGACTGTATGGTAGGATCTTCACCCCTTGCAGCTCTTCTGCCCATTCTCATGATGTCTCACAGAATTCACCATCATTTGTTTGTGTATTGGCATTGACTTCTCTTAAACAATCCTCTGTCTCTGGGCACAAAAATATTTACTGTACAAATATGTCCCTGGGCAGTCTTACGAATGGTTCATCTATTCCACCTCATTATCTAGTAATTTTAATCCTAATTTCATTCTAATGAAGTCCATAACAGAAACGTATTTCCATAGAGGTCTCTTTTGATCACCCTAGGATTTTAGGTATGCTTCAACGGCATATAGCCTTTCAATCTCTACATAGCTTGCATCCTATTATTTTAAAGTACTGTGTAATACAGAAGAAATGGGGCATATTCTCAGGCATCTGCTAGATATGTGTTCAAAGGCAGGTTGTGCAGTGCACAGAATGAGTAACAGACCATTTCTTTTCCTAGGAATGGTGTTTGATGACGTTAATGGTGCTGGCTGCATTCCCCGTAGAGAATGCCACTGTACCTATGAAGGTGAAACTTATGCTCCTGGTGCCTCCTTCTCATCTAAATGCAGATCATGGTAAGATACTTCCACACAACGTCTTTTCTTTTAGGTGCACTATCTGAATATTCTGAAGACAGGGAAAAATAACTAATTTCCCCTTAAAAAAATTAGGAACTACTTATCAATTGAAATTTCCTGATTACACAGTTTTAGAGAACAGTTCATGTCTGTTTTCCCCTTACACTTGGAAGCAAAATTTAAGTTTTTGAATAGATACTTCAATTTCAAGGCCTACTAAAGAAGACAATCAAATAGCAGAGGTGTTTAAAAATGTGAATTAGTGTTACATCCTTTGCAGCACTACAGTGTAATATTAGGATGCTCATGTAAATACCATAGAGGGCATGACACTTAGGGTTATTGCATTTAGAGTGGGAGATCACATTTGAGAGGTGTATTTGGCAAATATTACCTATATTTTTTGAATATCACTATAACTACTGAAGTTTTATTGCATAACTGTATGCAAATGCACTTATCTATGTATGAACACAAGAACCATGTTATTTTCCATGAAAAACTTCACATGTTTGAAGCTTCAGCCATGCTAATGGAGATGCGGAGTGATGCTTCATATGCAGAAGGATGCATGACAGGTTCACCAGGACTGAATTCTGTCCAAAGACTGGAAATGAACAGCAATATATATATAAAATTATCAGTAATATAAATGTGCCTGCCCCATACTTATTCTGATATTCTATAGCAATACTGGTTTCTTTGACAGTATGATCAGTGTTTTAAGAGGAAAACTGAGGCATCATCTGCCCTTATTGTCTTCTATTTCATTTACATTTGCGTTACCCAAGGTTACTGAATGCCTTCTTCATTTCAGTACCTGTGTTGGAGGTGAATGGTCTTGTGTCACTCAGTCATGCCCTGGGACTTGCAGTATTGAAGGAGGCTCCCACATTTCAACGTTTGATGAGAAACATTACTCTTTCTTCGGAGACTGTAGCTATGTCCTAACCAAGGTAAAAATGAGACACCCTCGCTAAAGGAAAGTGTTTTTATTATATATAAGGTTGTTTGTTGAAAATTACTGGCAGTCACATCAACTTTATGAAATTTAGAGGGTCACCATGAAGCCTGTCTGTTAGGGTTACACCAAATAATATTGTAGTGGTTTTGTGTTCTTTGATCATTGTTTAAGAATTGCACTGAGTTTTTAGCAGATATATTAAATACCTAGATTTTAGTAGATATACTAAATACCTAGATTTCATAACCCTAGCTATTTTTATGGTTTATTTGTATTGCGTGAGTAATGTAAACTATTTTCATAAGGACTTCATGTTGAATCAAATCTGTTATCAATAAGATTGGTCTGAATATTACCAAGTAAGAGAACAATAAAAACTTAGGAAGGAGCTAGAGTACTTTAGAAATAGATTAGACTAAATTGATGAAACTTTTGAATGAGATTCACAAGCACTGTTCTTGATCCACAATGGAAGCATAGATCAGACTTACACTTTAAACTCCTCTTTTTGGCACCAACATGTAAAATTAGATTCTCAGGGTTTCTGGAGGTAGAGAAAAATCACTAAATTTGTACTCAAAAGTTCAAAAAGCTTTAATTTACCATTAAATTTAATATTGATTTTCCAGATGTCTGGAATTCTGCATATCAGTTATCTTCAATTTAGTCTTCATTATGCCAAAGAAGTGATAAGACGCATTCAGAATCACAGCCTTCTTTGAGTGTTGCCCTGTTAAGTCTCGGCCATTAGTCACCCTTTGAAGGTGGCTCACAGAACACAGTTCAATGAAAATCTGAACCAAGACAAAAAATGAATTTTGCCTTTATTCAGTAATTTAGTGAATAAGGATTTTAGCTTAATTTTCTCCTGTTAGAGAATATTTAAATGCCTGATTTCCTACCAGTTTGAAGAATGTTCAAATCACCAATGTCCTTGATAATTTATTCAGTGCAGAAGACTGGAAACAATTTCTTTCCTCTCCCTGGTAAACTTCATAACCACTGGGAAAGAAAGGCATGTGTCCTTCTTCTCTAGCATATTAAACTAGTATTACCTTAACATTAGGAACTACTATTACCTAAGCCTTAAGGAGTTTAATGTTCAGCTTAATATGTCTAACTTGCTCTTGAATGTCAGGAACAATGGATAGCTTCCAGAGTGCAGACTGCATGAATGTCAGCTGACTTGGTGTCTGTATACATACATGTAAGACCATATGAGCAAGAAGAAATGAAATACACAATATTTTGAAAGATTCACTTTACCAAGAATTCCACTTAAGTGTGAACTTTTTTAAGTTAACAATATTTTAATATAACAAATCCTTTTATCGGTATCTTTTGTTTTCTTCTTCTAGCTCTGTGACAGCAATGAATTCACGGTTCTGGGAGATATCCACAAGTGTGGCCTGACTGAAACTGAAACGTGCCTCAAGGGTATAGCCATCAGCCTGAGTGGAGGACAAACTGTGAGTAGCAAATGTAAACACCTAACATTCTGCAGGGATGTTCTCAAAGCTTAACAGACAAGTAGTTTGCACATGACACATAACAGCACACACAGGAAATCTGCACTTACTTTTCATTTTATCTCATTTGAACATTATTCAAAGTAAAATTAAGAATAAAGTAAGTACATTAGAAGACAAGATGCTAGTAGTTTTCTCTTATTTAGATAACTTTGGGCTTTTGCTTTTTTAGACAGTCAATGGGCCGCAGTAATAAAATCAAAGAAATAATATAGGAATCAGAACATCATCATAGTCTCCCTCCACTTTTTTTTCCCCTCCATCTTGAACAGTATTAGAAAATATTTTGAAAGTACTTTACTTTTCCTAAACATGCTTGATAATTGTTGCCTTTTGTTGTGGACAGAACATTATGATCCAACCTTCTGGTAGTGTATTTGTGAATATGATCTACACACAGCTGCCATTCTCAGCAGGTAAGTTCCTTTGGAAGACTTCTGTAATGTTTCTCATTTTTTACTTTAAAATGTTATTACATGAATTAATCTGAAGCCAAATTCTACCTTTGATTATACTGCAGCAAACCCAAAGTACTGCAGTAGAGCATAGTCTCCCACTTCTAATGTAATAGGGTTTGTCTATTCAAAACTTACAATTTTAGCAAAATTAAGGTCTAAATATCTAATGAAATGGAGATTGAGTTCAAGGAAACAGTGTCATTGCACACTTCCAGATCCAAACATTGACATAAGAGATGAAAGAAAAAATCTGACATGCAACAGGACTCCAATATCTCAAGTCATTTAGTTCCCTGTGTTCCCTCTGGAGCACATTAATCTCTGGAGTTTCTCTCATGGAGTTTCTCTCATGACAGTTCTTCTCAGATACTACTGCACCTGAACACAAAGCAAACCATGAAAGGACTTAATAGGACCAGGTTGGAGTCTTCCATTAAATAGTGCTACATCATTTTTACCAAGGAAAGGCAACCTTTTAAATAGCAACGAAAGTGTGTGTTCTTCCCCTTATTTTAAAACACCTGACAAAAAGTGCAGGGTTTGTATACATTTGTTGTTTAGGTGTTTAGATTAGCCTGTTTTAGTGCTGGATTTGAAATCCTGCATGGATCATTTTCCCCCCCAGTTCTTCAGAAATTAGGAGCATATCAAACACAGCTGTAGAATTCCTCTGTATGATGAACAATTATTTCAAATGCTCATCTCATATGAAATTATAACTCTTTTGTTCTTATATCTCTAGCAAATGTCACCATCTTCAGACCTTCATCTTTCTTCATCATTCTGCAAACAACCTTTGGTCTTCAGCTACAGGTTCAACTTGTGCCTTTCATGCAACTTTTTATAGACTTAGACCCCTCACATAAAGGGCAGACCTGTGGTAAGTGACCTGTGTAACAAGTGCCTTCACCAGTATGTGTCATTCTGTAGGGCACTTTCACAGACCATCTGCTTCCTTTTAGGTCTCTGTGGAAACTTCAATGATATGCAGACAGATGATTTCAAAACCACCAGTGGTGTAATAGAGGGTACTTCAGCTGCCTTTGGCAATACTTGGAAAACTCGGGCTGATTGTCCTGATGCCAAAAATACCTTTGAGAACCCCTGTACTGTCAGCATACAAAATGGTAAGCTCAGCATATAGTAACTTCTTCTATTCTCTTTTAAGATGCAAAGACAGAATAAGTTGATCAATCATCAAGTATTTAGACAAAATAACAGAACTGTTTGCACACACACTATTTTCCTCAGCTGACACTAGAAGTCTTCAATTAATAAACAATAGCTAGGAAAATATTTTGGATCTTTAAAAATATTCCTTTGGATCAAGACAGCAACTGTTTTTGCCAGCTTACTTAAGAGAAAGTGGAACCATACAGCATATTAGGGATCCATTCCTGGAAAGGGCTGATTGTCATATAGAAAAAAACTGTGCATCACCCCACTGAATGTTGGACTCAGTGTGACCCCTCCACTGTTAAACTGAGAACCAGACTTAAAATTCAGAATTTCAAAGTTTTCAAGCTCCGTTTCAGCCAATAAAATATATAATTTTGAGTATTCACAAGCTTACTCTTTTGTTTTCTCAGATGAACTAGCAGATTTTTAATTTACAACGTGAACCTTTCTTTCCAAAATTCAGTTATGGACGTCTTAGTTTATTCCATGACAATTACCACAAATCAGAGAGCATTCAGTTTGTGAAGAGTTCATATTTCTCTTTACAGGAAGCAAAAGACTGTCTCAGCAAATGTGGGGCTAAATTATATTGTAAAGTTAAGCTTCTGCAATCTCCCTGCAGGAAGTATAGTAAAACTGAGACAAGAGTTTTGAAAATGAAGTACAATAGAAACTCTTACCACGTTTTCAATTCACAGACCAGTACGCCCAGCACTGGTGTGGACTGCTCTCTGACACTACGGGACCTTTTGCTGAATGTCACTCAACAGTGAATCCAGAAGTTTACGAGAAGGTATTTGGCTCTTAACTTTATCCCATTTAAGAGAAAAAGACTCAGATTTCTGATACTAACACCTGAGAGAGTAACTTGCCAATTGAGAGGATATGCATTCATGATAGTCCTTTTCAAGTCAAGGGTTCATTATCTACACAACATAAAATTTGCTCCTTTGTAAAGGTATCTCTCTATTCCCAGGAGGATAAATTTACAGGTATATTCCTCCTGCACCTCCTGCATTTTTAGGTGCAAACTTAAAGACTAAGCTAAGAGCTTGGACTCCTTGGACTCCTTATGAGGTCAAGGGACAAAACCTGTCCCTCCTGAGGTAGAAGGAAATCTTTAGTCAGAATCTTAACCAGCACTTTAGTTTCTCTGAACTGCTCTCAGAAGGCTTTTGCATACATGTAAAGGACAAGGCAAGCAATGTGTGTAAGAAACAGCAAAGAGATTTAGATATGTGAACAAAAACATTCCAGGAATTCAAGGTGATGAAGCTCTGTAACAGAGTCCCTGGGTACTTTACAAAATCTCCCTGTTATTACAAATTTATAAGATTATGTTCAGCAAACATCTTCTGGAATTACAATATTATAGTATCCCTGCCCTGCACAGAAACACATTAAATAACTGGTTTTCTTTGTTCCTCTTGAACAGAGAGCCCAGGCTCTTAAGCCTAAGCTGCCAAAGCTGGGTGGCATCAAATACTTTCTATTTATTCTAAATATATATGGCACAGTGGGGAAAAACTGGATGTAGTTGGAAAACCTACCAACACCTGAAAAAGGAAAAAAAAAGAGTTCAAAATTGTGGACCTCTAATTACTCCTTCTTCGTGCAAAGAATCTTTTTTGAAAGTGCTCAATGAAGAGCTTACACTTGTGGATTACACTCACTTTAACCTCTAACTAATGTAACACTCTATGGAGCACCGTGGCTTTGACATGACAATCTGATGATCATATGTCATCCCCTGTTCCTAGAACTGCATGTTTGACACGTGTAACTGTGAGAAGAGTGAGGACTGCATGTGTGCTGCCCTTTCAAGCTACATCAGAGCCTGTGCTGCTAAAGGAGTTCTCCTCCCCGGATGGAGAAGCAAAGCCTGCAGTAAGTTTTACATTCCTTTGCCTTTTGAAAATGATCACCCAGGAGCCCCTACAGAGCAGCTCTCAGGGATTCCCACAATAAATTGTGTTAAATTGGGTTTTAAGCATAGCATTGACTTTCAAGAAGTTGAGGAGGAAAGGAATACCATAAAAGACAAGCAATAAACAGTTAGAAATAGAAAAAACAGGCTTTGTTAGATTACTTGCTCAGAACCAGCAGAAGTAACATGGAGAGCCATACCTTTGCAATAGGAATAAAATAAGTAAGGTGTTTCTCAATTTACTTTGACAAAAAAAAAGTGAAAATAGCAATGAGGAAGAAACATACTATGCATTAATATACTTTGTCCTTTTTTAAATTTGGACAAAATATTTGTATTTGTGACACATTTATAGGGGAAAATTCTGCTCTAGCAGTAAAAAAAAAAAAAAAAATTACACTATTGAGGATATCAGTAAAGCATTTGTGTATACATTGCCATGTTTATCATATGTATTTTACCTCAAATACTTCACTTATACCTACATTGATTCTTAAATGAACTACAAATGTAACTCACTTTTTTACTTTCAAGCAAAATACACCACCTTGTGTCCGAAATCTTTGAAGTACACTTACAATGTCGATACGTGTCAACCCACCTGCCGGTCTCTGAGTGAGCCTGATGTCACATGCAGCATTAAGTTTGTCCCAGTTGACGGCTGCACCTGCATAAATGGAACATACATGGATGAAACTGGCAAATGTGTGCCTGCATCTAGCTGTCCTTGTTACTACAAAGGAATGCCTCTGTCTTCCGGAGAAGTTATTCATGATAATGGTGTTGTCTGGTAAGAGATTTGTAAAGAGAAAAATGAGATTGCTTATGTCCAATCATGAAACGATATATACGTTATGAAATCAAATCAAATGCATTTCTTTCCCTAATAATTTCAATTAAAAAATCACATATTCTTAAAAATTGTTAAGGCTACCCATGTTTGGAAGATTGTACAGGAATTGAACAAAACATACTGGGGTAGGTTAGCCTTTGCTAACAGTCAAACTCCCACCCAGCCCCTCTCTCTCTCCCTCCCTTCCTGTCTCCTTCCCCACAACACACACCTTCCTTATCTATGACTATAAAAGACTTGTTCTATGGTGAAAGATACTTGATAATAATGTTACAGATTATTCCCTTTATGAATGGAGTCTGAATTATCCTGAAGGACATTTTTAAACCAGGCAAATAGACAGAGTAAACACTTCCTTTATATAGAATATCCTTGTATTTTGTTCTGCTCTAATATAAAATATTTTTGAACAGAAAAAATATTTTGGTAAAGGACATGTTTTATTTATCACACAGTAATTTTTCATTCTTTCAAATTCACTAGGAAACAGGCTGAAAATTAACCAAATGTTTAAACATATCAATTACTTTTTTTTAATAGCACTTGCACCTATGGAAAGCTCAGCTGCATTGGAGAGAAACCTGAACCAGGTAATATATCAGCTTATCCCTTAAGATTTTCTTTAATTCTCCCTTTCCATCTTCATCCTCTTCAGTTCTCTTTTGTCATAATGATGCAAATTATAAAAGCAGGAAATCAATCAAGAAAATTAACTGAGGATTTCTGTAATGTAGAGGATATTCCCAAAATATAAAGAAATACTTTCTTACCTTTCAGATGGCTGAAATAAGTTATAACCCCCTGGGTTACCCAGTAGAAAAGAGTACAAGGTCACCCCACTGAATGTGAGGGGAAAACCATCCACATTTTAACTGAAAGTAGTAAAAGCCAAAAATAAAACACAAACAAAGTAATCAAGGATCTTTTTTTTCTTGGTTTGTTTCTCTGAAAGGTGTTTCGTGAAGCTAACTAAACATTAATTTAATGGATTAGTCCAAGCATAAGCACAAAAAGCAGATAAATATGATTTCAAAACAATAATCAGTTTCTCTTTCTGGTCAAACATATAATTTTAAGGTACCCATATGTCACAAAGGAGTCTTCTCCCATTTTTCTTCAGTCTGTATTAAGCAAACACAAAGATACAAATGCATGGTTTCTGTCATATTTCTCATGGCTTTTCTCTCTTTCAGTCTGTGTACCTCCCATGGTTTATATCGACTGTGGTAACACCACAGATGCAGATGTGGTAGGAGCAGGATGCCAGAAGAGCTGTCAGACTCTAGATATGGAATGTGTAAGCATAGAACCTTTATAATTAGTTGAAAGCATATTAAACTAGATCTCTTTTACAATAACCAGCTGCCGCTGGATCTTCCAGGAGGTAAATGTTTCAAGACATGTTTTCTCTATGGTCCTTACAGTACAGAACTCACTGTGTCTCTGGCTGTGTATGTCCTCATGATCAAGTGTCAGATGGCAAAGGAGGCTGTATAGCTCCAGAAGACTGTCCATGTATTCACAATGGGAATTCCTACAGTCCAGGAGAATCAATCAGAGTTGGCTGTAACAACTGGTAAGAGCATATTGAAAAATAACATTTCCTTTAAGCTCTAGGGAAGTAACATACGAGTGAATAGCATTTCATTCTAACAGCATCAAGATTTATAAAAAGGAATCCTACATAAAATGATCCACTTAGTACCTAAAAAGCAAGCTCTGCCTGTTTTTCTCGATGGTATACAGCCCAGAAATTGCAAGTGGTCAGAAGAACACTATGGTTTGGAGGCTGTCATATTCATTCAAGTCAAGAAATCTTTTTTTTCTTCCCAGGAAATACTTATATTTCAGTGCATCCAGCAAGATTTAGAAATGTGAAAGAGTTAATGTTTTCTTATCCAAATTATTCACTACATCATTAAGTAACAGTCTTTGGCTAAATCCCAAAAGTTCTTGAGCTGTGCTGCATTTCTGAGACTAAGCAAACTTTATTTTTTCATTAGAGTCTTAACACATTGTAAAATGCAGGAATGTACCTATATTTGGTGTATGTATAGCTTTTACATTTTGAGTGCTTTTTGTCTTATGTAGCACATGTAGAAACAGAAAATGGCATTGCTCTGAGGAACCCTGCCTGGAAACATGTTCTGTTTATGGAGATGGGCATTATACCACCTTTGATGGCAAACGTTTTGATTTTGAAGGAGACTGTGAATATGTTCTAGTCCAGGTAACAGAGTCCTTCCCAGATTTTTGCATTAAGTACCTTGCATTTTACTGATGACCATGTAGCATAGTTAACATTGAATACCATTCCCCTGTTTCAGAACTACTGTGGTCAACAAGCTATGAATCAGGGAACCTTCAGAGTCATCACTGAGAACATTCCATGTGGCACTACAGGAACCACCTGCTCTAAGTCTATTAAAGTTTTCTTGGGGGTGAGTATTTTCTTTAAGTTATGCCAGAAGGGCAGAACAAGCTGCATTGCAGAAGTGTCCTCCAAGATAGTGAAAATGTTACTAGACTTCTTTGCTCACTGCTAATGATTCTGCTCTCTGCTAGAGAAAGCAAAGGAGGGAACTCTAAAATTTCTTAATGTGAGGCTGTTGAATAGAATCCTTTTGATGATAATAGTTATTATTTCAATTAGTTACTGGCAACAGATAAACCTGTACCAAAATAGATAACTTTTTTAACTGGCCTCTAACTTTTTCTTTTCCTGTCTTAGAACTATGAGCTGGTACTCAGTGATGGACACTCTGATGTCATCCAGAGGACACCTGGAGGAAAAATGCCATTCCAAATCCGTTCCATGGGTATCTACCTGGTAGTTGACACCACTGCTGGTCTGATACTCATGTGGGACAAGAAGACCAGTATATTCATCAAACTTAGTCCCGGCTTTCAGGTACACTTTAAAATCAAAAACCTTGATAAAATTAATTCTGAAACACATCCATATTATCTCTCAAAGAAAAAGTGTGGAAATTTAGGCCGTACATGAAAGACTTCAAGAGCAGCAATTGCGTATTATTATCCTTGCTGTGTTGAATCAGATTGTGTGCTATGCATTTTCCTTATATTACATTATCCAGCAATGGCATAACAGCAACTACATCAGTAGCTTTCCTCATGAAAAGACCTCACTGAAGAGATATGTTCACGATCAGCTAAAACTAAATAGCTCAGTACTTAAGAACAAAACCCACGAGTCTACTCTTCTTCCTATCTTTGTTTATCCTTCCTAGCAACAAGTCAGAGATAATCTCTTTATGAAAGGCATTTTATGAAAATTTCCAACTGCTACTTAAAAGGCACAGATAATCTTAAACAAGATTCACTCTGAGATCTGTTACTCACAGATACCGAGAACCTATACCTTATTATTTTTGTGATTTTTGTGTATTTATCCTGATGCAGGGACATGTTTGTGGACTTTGTGGAAACTATGATGGCAATGGAAATAATGACTTCACTACTCGCAGTCAGTCTGTGGTAGGAAATGTGCTGGAGTTTGCCAATAGCTGGAAAGTGTCTTCTAGTTGCCCAAATGCCAATCGTACCAAGGATCCATGCACTGCAAACCCGTACAGGAAAGCCTGGGCACAGAAGCAATGCAGCATCATTACCAGTGAAGTGTTTGCAAAGTGTCACTCCCAGGTATGACAAAAACTTTAGTCTTAAATTCTCTTGAGACAAAGATTACATCAATTCTTATGTGAGATTAAAAAAAAAACCAACCAACCAAACAAAAAAACCCCAAACACAAACACCTAAAATACACTTTTTCATGCTTTACAAAGTGAGCTCAGACCAAGTTCTGTGGAGATTGCACGGAAAGTATTTTCACAAAAGTATTTTCACTTTCGTTTTCTCAGCTTTAGCCTTGAACAAGTACACCAAAGAAATCGATAGTTTGGATTGGTTAGTCTTGTTTGTTTGTTTTTAATAGAAGGAAAAATCATAGATAAATTTCAGGATATGCTTATTTTCTAATGGCATCATTTTCTACTAACATAAGTATCAGCCACCTGATATGTATGACTGTGTGCTGGCTTGTAGTAATTAACAGTATTCTGCAATTGTACCTTCAACATCACGCAGTTCTTAGTATTACAGCTTAGTAGCAATAGCTTTAGTCTACATTTTCCTCTTGATTTTTTCAAAGCATTCTCATGGTTTCTTCCTTTCTTAGCTTCCTCACATACAGCTGTCAGTTTCAGATATTTTATTCAGCTATTTTAGGACAGTGCAAACGGGACAAGGGCATGAAAACTTAAAGGTTTTCTCCATCAGGTTGAACCAAACGAATATTATCAAGCATGCGTGGATGATGCTTGTGCCTGCGACACTGGAGGAGACTGTGAATGTTTCTGTACAGCAGTAGCTGCCTATGCTCAAGCATGCAATGAGCTGGACATTTGCATTTCATGGAGAACCCCATCCATATGTCGTAAGTTTTGACCTACTACCTTTTGGAGGGGTCCAGAGGGAAAGAAAACAAAAAAAAAAAAAAAGGAAAAGAAGTAGGAAAAAACGAAAGACAAATTTGTATTTGTAAGAGGCACTGTTGTATTCTTTAAAAAAACAACCAGAAAAACCCCAACAAAGAAATTTGGGTAAATCACAGGAAGACAACCTATCTTACTAAAATGAAACCACAGATAGTAACTTTACAAGTGGTGTGATTAATGTCTGATTAACTTGTCAATCATGATACACAACTAGTGAACAATACTATTATATTACATTCCCACCTGTCTATAGCAGGCTCCATGTAAATAAATACTAGTGCATACTAGCTAAAATCAGTGATTTAATCAACTGATTTTTCTTGTTTAATGTGTAATTCTGTTCTATGCTTTAAAAATTTATTTATGTCAAAAGGTGGTAGAAATATAACAATTTTATCAAATTAGCAATAAGAAAATATACTGCTCACCACCTACATGACTATGCTAATCCCATGGGGTTTTTACCCAGCAAAACTGAGACTAGAGAGCTGAAAGATCAAAGGTATTTTGCTGACATTTCCCCTTCTTCTAGCTCTGTTCTGTGATTACTACAATCCGCAAGGGGAATGTGAGTGGCACTACAAACCATGTGGAGCCCCTTGTATGAAGACCTGCAATAATCCAAGTGGGAACTGCCTTCATGAGATGAGAGGTTTGGAAGGTAAACATAATAATGCATATCTCATTCTAGTTATAAAATCTTAAAATGCAGTAGGATTAACAAAATTTAGATTACTCAGTGTATGACATGCTTGTAGCAGAAATTATAAGAAGAGACTTTCTAACTTAGTATCTTACTACCTAATGGATCGTACTTGTTTGGAGTGAAGATGAGGACAAAATGCACCAAAGCTTAATATGCAATCAAAATAGCAGTAAGAGGGTCTGAAATTCCACTTACCGCATGGGACAATTTCGGGAAAGCAGATATGAGTTTAGAGTTACTTCTACTTGTGAAAGGGCTAGTTTCAACTTGACTCTTTTTATTGCAGGCTGCTATCCACATTGTCCAAAAAATAAGCCCTATTTTGATGAAGAAACCATGACCTGTGTTTCTAATTGTGGTTGTTATGAAAATGGGAAAAACTACAAACCAGGAATGGAGATGCCTCCAAAGCAGAATTGTGAATCATGGTAAGATTAGTAAAGATTTTTAAAAATTGAGTTTAAAGTTGTGGAACATAATTTATCACACATTAAACTTGTTGTTTACGAACAGGAAGCAGGCTAGTCAGAGGCTGATAAATAATGTCTAATTTTCTTCCCTTCCCAGGAACTTAAATGATAACATGATGAAACATTTTACCATTGAGAGATTAATTTACTAGTTAGTCTGTATATTTATTAAAGTGCTTTTAAATTATTATGATCATTATGAAATCAAATAAAAATAAATTAAAATAACAATAGTTAGGGAATAGTCCTAGAATTTGTATTAAGATATCCCTAAACTCATCGTATGAAATTCTCTAGAAGTTAGCAGCCAACTCATCTACATGGTTTTGAGCTTGTTTCTGCTATTTCACTGGTTCTTGCATAGTTGCAACTGTCCCATAGTTGCAAGTATTCCCACACATTACTGATGGCAAGTTGCGACAAGTGCTGTTAAGCCTTCTATAAAACAGTACAAAGGTACAAAGGTAGAATCAGTTGTTAAGCAGTTAACAATTGTCTTAAGACACCTTTAAAGTAGCTATGCTTGAATACAGTAAGCAGTACAATGCAAATAGCAAAAAATCTTAACACAAAGCCCATTTGAGCTAACCCAACTTCTTTGGCATGTTTTGCAGTTCATAGACATCTTTGTCTACATCGTCTAGGCCATTAACAGCACTAAACCTGAAGCAATAAGTACATATTTATATTTATTTAAGTTTATTCAATGTATAGATGCCCTTAGTCACTGTAAATAAGTACATCAAGATTCAGTTATTAAAAGATAATAGACAAATTCCATTTAAAACCAGAATGCATTCTTCCATCTTTTGGAAGTCTAATGGAAATTTGCTGTGTAGATTACTTCAACATCCATGATACAGTGATCCTTTGTATATATCCTTATGAATGTAAACGATACATTTACTGCACTTTCCCTTCCAAAAAATAAGTAGACGTATCCGAGTGATGAGAACATCTCAGATGACTCTTGTTCACAACTTTGCCCAGCTCCCAAAAGCACTGATAAGGTTGCTGCATGTTTCACAGGCTGGCACAGAAAAGTTATCTTTCTTGCCAGAGAACTGCATGAAGATAACCTAGCCTGAATTTGTACAGCAGAACTGCAGCTCAAACTCAGAGAAGATAGAGGCATTCTACATTTAAACACACAATGAATAGATTGATAGAAAAAAAGTTGAAACAAAAAAATTATGTCATGAACTGATATATTCACATTGATAATCTCAATTTTTCTCTTTTCCAGTGAATGTACAATTCATGGCAAAGAATGCAGATATGACGAATATGGTATGTTGACAAAGTTGTTTTTATGTGATTAGGATGCATTTAAGGTATTCTGCTCTGTGTTTCAGATAGCAAGGAATAACATCCTATTTTGATTTACAGAATGTGTCTGCTTCTATGAGGGACAGAAATATAACTACAAAGATGTGGTCTACAACACTACAGACGGAATAGGAGGGTGTATTGTTGGAATCTGTGGTCCCAATGGAACACTTGAAAGGATTATCTATGAATGTCCAATCTCAACATCACCCACAACAGCAACAACATTTCATTTCAGCACTACACCACCTGCCAGTACTTCCACAGGTAAATTCTTTACAGCCCCTAAGAGTGTATTCTGTTTATTAGTGAGTAAAATTTAGCTACAAAACGACGCCCACACGCACAGCATGAATAAATTAATACAACCTCACAATAAATGAGAGCAGTAACAAGGAAATAAACATAGAAAACAAATCCGCTTCTGAAACACCCTATTAAATTACATCCTATTAAATTAATATTAATCATATTAAAATAAAAGTATGCTAAACTGATGCCCTACAGGATCACAATGCAAGAAAAATAACACTAGGAAAATTGTTTGCCCATTCAAAATAACATAAAAAGATCATATCTACAGGAATTTATTTTAAGTTTCATGGTCTCTTCCTTATCTCCTTTGCAGTGTCACCAACGACATCAGTATGTGTTCATGAGGTCTGTGAGTGGTCAGAATGGTATGATGGCAGTCTGCAAACCCCTGGCTATGACGGTGGAGATTTTGAAACTTTCAATGATTTAAGAGCTAAAGGTTATGAAGTTTGTAACGCTCCACGGGATGTTCAATGCAGAGCAGAAAAATTCCCTGATATACCACTGCAAGACCTTGGCCAAAAAGTAGAATGCAGTACAACAGCAGGGCTTATATGTTACAACAAAGATCAAATTTCAATGATGTGCAACAATTATGAGATTAGAGTCCTATGCTGTGTTTTTGTACCATGCTCTTCTTCAACATATCCAGTTTCTACAACTTCTGAAAGTACAACATTGATACATTCAACATCTGAAGAAACAACAACCACAACCATAATGACAAAACCTGTCACCACCTTGCCTTCAACACCTTCTCTTTGCTTTAAAGAAGAATGTTACTGGTCCAGATGGTATGATGTCAGTTATCCAGGGTCTGGTTATGACGATGGAGATTTCGACACCATTCAGAACATTGAAAAAAAGGGATACAAAGTCTGCGCTAACAGAAGGGATGTGGAATGCAGAGCAGTGAGGTTTCCTAACACACCATATCCTCTCCTGGAGCAAAACATCCTCTGCAATACAGAAGAAGGCTTGAAATGCTACAATAAAGACCAATTGCCACCCATTTGCTATAATTATGAACTAAGATTTAAATGCTGTGTAAATATAACAGTACCATGCCAAACAACCACTGAAAGTATTAGTACTACAAAAACAACAGAACCAACTACACTTTCTTCAACAGGACTCAGTACAACATCCACAGAAGTATCAACGACTCAACACTTGATAACAAAACACAAGACAACACCACCAGAAACACCTCAACCACAAACAGATTACATTCATACCAGAATTACAACAAAACCAACAACACAAAATCAAAAAGAAACAACTACTACCACTACCACAACAACCTCCACAATGACTACAACACCCACTCGACCCCAGACCTCCACCACCACCACATCCACCA